TCATGGCCTGCTGAATTGTTGTTGCTATATTAACACAAGCGCAATTAATGTGTATAATAATTACAATACCGTAACGGTACATGGCTTCTGATAACTTTGTTCATTGGCTTATGAAGTCTGAGGTAGAAAGTTACCAACAATGGCAGACTGTGAAAATATAAATATCGTAAATTATGAACATATTTATACGGGTCGTAAGGCGTCACTGAAATTTTTGAAATACTTACCGGACTATTATCAGGATTCAGTTATAAAGATCGAAAATTTAGATTTGGTTAGATATAGAACTAAACCACTGAAATAAATGGACAACACAGAAAATGTCTGACTTGTGCTTACATATTATATTTATCCCGCCTAATGGTAAATGAAAAACAACATTGTATTGTCGTTCTACTTTCCGGATCAGGATTTTTGAGTATACATGAGGTTAGGACCGCCTTCTGTCCAGGATCAAAGGCTATATTTCCATATTTCTGTACGATTTAATGAAAGTAAGTGTCAAATTCGGTGCAAAAAAAAAAAGTGTACCGGTGTTCGTGAACTTTTATACATACTTCCCAGTAATTTACAGCAGAGTCTTCGGCCATTAGCTTACAAAATATTGCATTAATAGATATCAGAAAGGCTGCGGTAAAATTCTTACATAGTGACAATCAAGAACAATTTGTAGGAAAAATAAACTCTTACTTCGTATATACACATTCTGCCCTCCCGCAATGTTTCAGTTGGCACACCAATTAGCTTAGCAAATTCCTCATTGCCTTTGTAAATCTCTCCTGATCTTCGCCAAAGACATGCAGGAATTCCCATAGAACTAAAGACCCTATCGTAATCCTGTAACCGATCATAAATGTAAGCCCAGCGCGGTGCGTACTGTATAAATAACGATAAGCAAAGCCTAACCAGTAAAAGTCTCTCGAATGCTTCCTCAACAAGCACCAAATCCATGTCAGTCAAAGATTGGGCCACGGCTCTAAAATGAGGTCTAAATTTCCCTAAAGAATTGACGATTCTTTGTCGACTTAAATTGGACATACTATTTGAAAGACAAAGCAAATAAGCGTTTCGTCGATAAAACATTAGCATTGAGAGAGCATACAAATTAAATTCAGTCATACTCACTGAGTCTCCATATGTTTCTGTAATCTCGCGTAACCATTTACGTAGTTGTATGGTTTCAATAGTCCAGCCTCAAACTTTGCAGCTATCACTTGCATCAATCTGTCTTGTGATGTTCCATCGGATGGATCAGCGGCTATTAAAAAAAACTTCTCAGTAGTGTTCACGAGAGTACCGTCAGCGTGCTGATATGTATGATGTCCATTTGCACTTTCTAGAAAATCAGTAATTACTGTGAACTCATTGCCCATGTGTTCACTTGCAAACGTCAATGGGGCCGTAGGAAATTGTGAATAGGAAGGTATAGGATTGTAACCAGAAAGTGATACATTAGCAAGATTCGGGGGGCCACAAAGCACTAGACATAAGACAGAGTTAGAAAAATAATAATAGACTATATATTGGATATGAGACCGAGAATATAAGAATGATGGATATACCTTCCGAATTAACATGCGACAACGCATTCATAACATTCTGAGTCACAACAGCAGGTGGTTGATTCATTATCTGAGCGCCATGAGCGCCCTTTGGCTCGTCATGACATAGATGACCTATGCTCCGTTTTATACATCTTTGGCACGGCCTCCCTGCATTGAGTAAAATAGAAATTATTAGGTCGCGGCATCCTTGCCTCGTATTTCTTGTTCGCAATTTGCACACCTACCATCATCACAGGTCATATGTGAACGTCGGCAGTAAACGCAAGCTACACAAGCAAATAGTCACGTTGTCAAACATACAGAATAGTCGCTGCATAATCCACGATTACATAACATACCATGAGTAACTTTTCGCCTCTTTGGTCCTGCTCTCTTTTTTTTTGTTTCCGAGTCCTTACCGTTAGGTGACTCGTCAGTCTGTTGTTCAGGCTCGGCTTTAACTGACGTTTCCGCCGGGTTTGATTCTTGTTGTTCTAATTCGTGTTGGTTCTGAAGTGTTTGTGAAGGCGAATTGTGCTGTGATTGTTGCTGTTGCAGCGACGGTGTTGCTGTTTGGGAGGAGGTCGAAGAGTCTACCTCAGAACCATAATATTGTTGATTGCTATTCATTGAGTATTAATAACTTACTTTACAATTTATTGTTGAAAATATTAAGTGTGGATCATAATCAGCGTCTTTTGATCCGGTCGATCATCTTGTATCACATGGCACGGTGTTGGTAAACAAAAATGCTAAAGATTGCGCTGCATATCAATTTAATGAGAAGATGGATTAACTGCAGATTACAAAAAATAGTTAACCGCAACGAAGCAGAGTATTGCTAGCTTTATATTCTTGATATAAATTCGTTACAAAGAATTGGCAACAACACTTACTGCCGATTTCGATTAACGACAGTTTTTAAATAATGGTTTCGATCAAAGGCTCTGGTTTCAGTGTTGTCTTTGGTTTACCAACAACTAGAATCCTCCATTTATAATCGCTTATTTTGTGAATAACATATATGTAATAATAAAAAGAGAAAAATTAATGCCTCTAATTAGTTGACGCTTTTTATAACTGGCAGTTAGTCGTTAACACAGTCAGTATTTGTAAGATGACAGTGAATTCCACATTGCTTATTTAATCTTCGACAAGAACATTTTCGTGTGGAACAATTTTGCAATCTAAGTGCTTCGGTCAAAGATACAACAGTCTCCGGAATAGTTAACAGGTCAGGAAACTCTGCTTCAACAGCAAGTCAGCTGTATAGTAGCGAATGTCTAATATTCCCAAACTTGTATTGACCTCTCTACCACTTTCTATTCTTTGTGATTGCTGAATTACCTTACAATTCTTTTTTGTTAAAGCCTAATTATTTTGACCATCATACGATTTAGACATTCAATTATTCAATCGTTCTGTTCTTTGTGATTGCTGAATCCTTTTTGTTGAAGATCTTAATCGTTTTGACTAGCATACGATTTAGACATTCAATTATTCAATCGTTCTGTTCTTTGTGATTGCTGGATTCCCTTACTATCCTTTTTGTTGAAGATCTTAATCGTTTTTGACTAGCATACAATTTTCGAAACAAATTATCGTTCTATTTCTTTGTGGCTTACAATCCTTTTTGTTAAAAGCCCTAAAACATACGATCTCTAAATAGCTACCACATCAACAAACTTGCAAGCTGGTAAGGCAAATCAGATGATCTAAACAGACTAGTAGAATATAATGAATCGTATGATCAAATCTTTAACAAAAAGGATCATGGACAAGTTTTCAAAAGAAATAGAATGAAGACATATTTATAAATTGAGGAATATCAACATTGCAATTCGGTGTCTTTCACTTAACATCGTCAGGAAACAAACATGTCTAATAATCATTTTAACTTCATCTCGCGCCAGATTTGATGAATTAGTGGAGAATTACTTGAATAATATGTCACTTAATTGTCGCACAAAAGCCATTCTGACTCAACAAATCGTAAACCAGGCGACTGAAATCCTTAGCGGTTCAGACACAAGTGCGAATCAAAGATATAAACTGGTACTGCAAATGTCCAGCATGATGAAAATTCTACTACTCAAAAAAAGTATAAACCCCCCCCCGTGTGTGTTAGAGAGAATATGTACGTTGTAATCTATCCTACATATCGAGTTTACAACACGCTGGCTACAGAAGGACATTCGAAGAACTCCTAGAAAAATAGTTGCTGCATTTGCACGTGTTAACGCAATATCGTGATTATCATATTTCAGGAATATTAGACGTTTATTAGTGCATTGAGTATACGTTTAGTGCATTGAGTATACGTGAAATGGTAGGGAGTAGAGTGTGAGAATTTGCAAGAGGGATATGCTAACATTTCCTTAGTTTTGATATGAGAGGAGGTGCAGAGTGAGCGAGACGCAATAGAGGATATGTATTTTTTTTTGTCATAGATTGAATAAACAATGTGCATTCAGCATATGCTGACTGCGTTAAACTTTAATTTTCTTTTTATTATTACTATTATGTTTTTCATATTTGCTATTCATAAATAAATTCGCTTGTTCGAGCGTTCACTATTACATTGATATTATTGTTGCATTATGATCGAGTTCGGAAATGGGTCAGAACATTTGTACCTTTACCCTATCCTGATTCTTTCTTAAATAGGTATTTTCCGGTATCTGACTTAGCGAAGGGAGCAATAATATATTGTTTTTGGTCGCTAAGATTCGTGGAAGTTTTACATTCGATGACATTGATCTTTACCCTTTTTAATGTCATTGCTCTCATTCAAATTAATTATAATGTCGCTTAACAGAAAATATAGCACATTCGCACAATGTAGTACAGTCAGTTATGAATCTGTTATTTCTGTATTCTGTTCAGCGTAAACTTGCCACACTTAAACCGTGTCACACCAACAATGTTGGTGAGAATGTGTCAAACTAACGGAAGTCTCATATTCATTGGTCAATTTTAACACGTGCTATAGATATCTTTCGCTGCTGTATAAATATAACGGAGCTATTTATTTGTTGCACATCGATTGGCTTGTTAATATGCGGGGCGCAACGCAACGCAACACATTAATATTAATTTTTGTCACCACAATAAGAACACATTATCCACATGACCATTTCTGCATGCATGTAACAGGCCACTGTTACGATATCCAGCATACATATATATAACAGTGAAAATCGTAAACATTAACAAGATCAAAACAAAAGTTGTCAGCTAACTAGAAGTAAGTAATTTAATTTTTTGCTTGTTGGAAATATAGATCATATCTCACGAGAAATCGAAAATACACTTGCAGTAGTAGCATTTTTGATTTTTTACTCACTAGTACGATGTTATGGAAAATAGCGTGCGAACATAAAGTATAAGCTCACATTTAAATAACTTTTCTCACTCTCTCACTCACTCTCTTAACTCATAGTCTGCTATACGAAAATGTCGCTGAAAGTCACCCATCCTCGAAAACCACCACAATCAAGTCACGACTCCCCAATCTTTACTTACAACGTCTCGCCATCGTTGCAATCATCACGTTCGAACAATAACTCTAATCGCAATCTTTCGATATCTTTCCCAGTTCGACCCAATAAACCAACCCCAACATATCGCTTTCAATCAATAGCCGCCGATAACGTACCAGCTGTCAATAGCGTAAAACCCAAAAAGACATCACCATCAGCGTCACCATCTGAGCGTAAGGTTCGGCGTACAGTAACAAAACGCAGCAGTTTGCGTGAGGAATCGTCTATCGAGCAGAGGTTGGATGTTATCTGGAGATTTTTCCTGGCCTTTGTGCTTGAGTTGATGGGAGTATGGTTCTTGTTCATAATGGCGCCGTACAGGTTCTCGGTTACGACCTTTCGGACTGTTGGAAAATTGATTGCCGTCGGGCCGGTGCTTAGCGTGTGATCTTAGAGAGCGATTAGATGACTCGTTAGATTGATATGCTAGAATATAATTTCTAATACATTAATTTGCTGTTATATTTGTAACTGTACTCTGTGAATGACTCTTGTTTCTCCCTTTTTCACCAATAATAAACATCCTCGTTGTTGCGTTGTAAAATTCGAACACACGCAAATGCGGTGTAACTTTAAGGAAAATATGCATCTATTACTCTGCTTCGAGATCATAACACAAGGCATCAAGCTATATCGGGCATGCTTGCAATAATACGGAACATGTCACCTGATACATTTTAATAATACACAATAATAGCACCATTCCCACGGTTATTTCTGTTGTACAGTACATTCTCTAATTGGATCAAATCAAACAGAGTAAGAGGTCTAATAGTTAAAAATAATACGAAAGCTTTTTTCTTCTGTAATCATGGGAAATTTGAGAGTGACTGTTCCCAATCTCCACGGAAAACAAGTATGAAACAGTTTATAAATGGGTCGATAAGAGAAGATGTGGTAGCATACATGTAGAATATCCCCCATAAAATGTGTGAAATAAATGTTCATTTTGCTGGCGACGATAAGCAATATTTACATTTCATATTCGAGTCCGAAAAGAGAACCTTTTACAAATCGGATTACAGAAGTAAAGTCGCCGGTAATCTTTAAAGATTACATTTAATAATAATGTAATAAGTGTATGAAAATTCATTACGAATTAGCGCGCAAACACTGCTCGATAGGAATACTTTCTTTGACTCGATGTTATTACACGATTTGCTTGATAAAATTAGTATAAAGAAAGATGACAATTTGGCAAACGCATGATAAAATTCTTCACGACCTGGAATGAGTAAAAGGAATCCGACCGGAATGCTTCAAATTCTGTGTTTTCGAGTCAATTAATTGGTCGACTGCACGCTAGATAAGGAGTCCAGCACTGTATTCTATGCATTCATCGTTTCAAAATGCTCTGACATTGGATTAATAAAAAAATAGTAAACGGTAATAAGATTATCTTCAAGATTAATTTGTTTAAGGATTGTGCCAATATCAAGTCCGTCCAAGAGTAGAGGGTTCTATAGACCAACTCAGTGTGGGTCGTAAAATCTGTTTGTAGTATTTACTCGACAAAGCAAAAGGCGGCAAGAGGTTATTTTATAGATTGCTTCAGCATTAAAGTTTCGGAAAAAATAACACCCTTTTTTGCATTTTATTAATATTAATATTGCTGATATAAGCCGAATTTTAATATCGATATATTGGTAAACAGTACTAATTAAGTTAGGTTTTCACTCCTTTTTCTATTTATTAACTTGCTCATTTCACTTGTTAATAATGTTCAATTGCCTAAGTAAGTGAAAAAATAGAATTTAGAATGTTTCGACGCATCCATTATTTAGAACGCGGCGTAGGATGTCTGCCAATATCTTTACACTAAAATGGTCGCTGGAATTTGTCTCTTCTATCATTAACACTGTTCCTTTGGTCATGTCACTAAAATCTATACATTTGCATCATTATTATCGTACACATCACTCAAAACCTTGTGCCAGGGCTGCCAACAGGATAGTATCTGCTTTTACTCCAAGCCCGTTATAAGACCCGCGCGTTTTTGTAACATACAGCTGCCGAGATTGTATTTTCTTTCGTGCAGGTGTGAAGAGTTGCATTAAAAAGCGTATCAGATTATTATTCTTTAGCATGAAGAAAGTCTTTAACTATTGATTCGTCATCATCTTTGTCTTTCACTTTAAACGGGACTATTCCATGCTATAACAGCGACGATGCTCTACGTCGATATAGACAATGCCTTTAGTCAAATCACTGAGCATAAGCACTGCTTTGTTGAAATAAAAACATGTCCATCTGAAGAATCATTAGATATTGAATCAACGCGATTAAACCAATTGTATGATGATGCTATAAACAGCTCCAGAGCTTTTGATCCATGGTTAACCGTTTTATGAACCGTCTCTGCAGACACACACAAATTTCCCTACAGGTGTGCATGAAAAACTCTGTTCATTTCCCATTCATTACAATAATTTGAATCACCAACATGGACGAGACACAATATGGCCGGTGCGCAATCAAAACCTACATGTACAACGAGAATGATAAGAATCAACTCCCCATACTATTAGCAGATAGAACCATACTCCCGTACATACAATGCCAGTGATATCAAGAGGACACTATTGAGGGGCGGGTTAATCAAAGTAACGAGAGAGGTATATTTACATTAGCGCTGAATTGTATGTTGTTGGTGGCACATTCACCGGAGAATTTGGTAGTTGCAGACATTCAACAGTTTATGAAGTGATTTCTGATGATAGTGAGCAGCTCTGACAGGTCAATATTAGTAGTGAGATTGACATACAGCGAATCGGCGAGAACAAGCAATTGCATTGTAATATTGTAGTGACATGTAATGCTTCCAAAAACGTGTGTATCAACTGCTCTCCTGAAGAGTACATTTCAAGGAATTTGGATTGTTTTTATTTTATTTTTTACCATGTGAATATTCTCATAAATTATCATCCTAAATTTAGTATAAGAAGATTGGATGACTTATTTGAGACCAGTTTGTGCAGAAACTTTATTAGTAATATATCATTGATTTTTTTTTTTGGCTTGGAAGGCATTTGAATATGATGTACTAAATTAGTACAATCACCAAATGGATATCCATTAAAAAATACTATTTATTGTCAATTTGTATCAGTTTTATCATTTATCGATTGCTTATTCATCGAGGTGAATAGGAAGGTGATGTGGGACTGTAACGTAAACCAAAGAATGTATTAGTAATAGCACAAGACATTAATTATACTACAAAATTCAATCCTCTGCTGACCTGTAACTAGGAGATTTCGGAGTAAACGATGGAGACATCGCAGCCGGAGACGATGGGCTGAAAGCCGATGTGGCTGTGGGTGTATATAAGGGCGAAGTAGGTCTTATAGAAACACCAGAAGGTTAGAAAAAACAGAGTATTAATGATTCGACAACGTAATATAAAAGCTACTTACGAATACGATGGTGAAGTCGGAGAATATTGAGGAGACGTAGGCGAGTAAGCTGGACTGGTTGGTGAGTAAGAAGGACTAGTTGGTGAGTAACTAGGAGATGTTGGTGAATACGATGGACTAGTTGGAGAATAGCTGGGTGATGTCGGCGAATATGATGGACTTGTTGGTGAATAGCTCGGAGATGTTGGAGAATAACTGGGTGATGTCGGGGAGTACGATGGACTTGTGGGCGAATAGCTCGGAGATGTAGGAGAGTATGATGGACTTGTGGGGGAATATGATGGACTAGATACTGAATAAGATGGCGTCGAATGCGTTCCATTGGCCCCTAAACCAAGTCCAGATATACCAGCACCGTATGATTGTGATGGGCTAGTTGGTGAATAGCTCGGACTTGTTGGACTGTATGCCGGACTTGCTGGGGATAATCCAGAAGGAGAATGAGCATACGCTGTTGGCGATGTTGGAGAATATCCCGGTGACGTTGGATGACCGTATACCGGTGTACCACTACTTCCGTATGGACTGACAGCCCCGGTCCATGACATATTAATGCCAACCATAGTAGGACTTGCCGAGCCGCCTTCACGCTGTGGAGAGAACATCGGAGTCCCTGGCAGCAATGGTTGTGAAAAGTCGCCATACAAACCTGGTGACCTAGCTCCATAGCTTGGCGTTTCTGCAAACATTGGTGTTTGTGCTCCAGAATATGTCATCCTACCAGGTGTCATATGACCAGGTGTCATGGCACCCATTGCACGACGATATTCCATGTCCGATGTAGTCGTCTGTTCTGTAGCATTCTGCATAGGCTGCTGGATGGCTGTCGTTTTCAGCATCTCTTCGTCAAGATAAACATCGAATTCACCAGTACCTAGAGGCGCAACCTGTCCTAACATAATGTTCTCTGCTACTCCTTTACAATCATCAACTTCACCAACAGCAGCTGCCTCCATTAAAATTTCGACAGTCTCTTCGAATGAGCATCGCATTAGCGCACCCGTCTCTGCACGGTTGATTCCGTGACGTGTAATTGCCATTAGATGACCCCGCGAAGTCATTACATCACAAAGCAGCGCCAAATGGCGGTAATTAACATATGAACCATCAAACTCGATAACACTTCGAAGCTCTTTAAGAAGTGCAGCACGAGTGGCTTCGATACCCAAGACGGTCATTATTTCAACACAATTATTCGAACATGTACGCCTATGGTCAACATGATCCACACACAAAACTTCCGCTAAATTGGTTCCATCAGTTTCTAATGTCCACTCATCATCCCTGCAAATATTCCCTGTTTCATTAATATACACTCGGCTGTTTTTATTCTCCATCAGGTATACGCGAACAATCCCTTTGATACCGCGAAGACCGATTGAAGATAACATGTTACTCTCAAGACGCTTAAGAAATACGTCTTCTTCAACAATGCTTCCGCCCTCTTCATCAACTTCCTTGACAGTTCCCGATTCGCTTATAATACGGCACCGAATGACTTTTTTCTCCGCGTTATCATCGTTCCAAATGGCGTGTACGTCACGCTTATAGTTTTCTTGAATTTTGTTGCCTACAACATCCATAGGCAACTTCTTATCAAGCATCACGCTGTGGTCCAATTCGAATCTCAATAACCAAGGTGAAAGTGATGCTGCCAATTGGCCTTCTTCACCACCCTGAGTCTCGTTCTCCATTTCATAGTAAAGGTCTACGAATTCTTTGTCTTCCTCTATTATAGTGGTTTTCGGGTCCGGATCATACCAAATCTCAGTACGCTGCGTAACGGTTTTGAGTGTTGTATATTCGATAGCACTTTGTATTTCTTTTGCACAACCCATGTCCTTAGCATATTCTGGAACCAAATAAATATGTACTGAGGGTGTCTTGATATTCTTTGCTACATTAATAATTTCTTTTAGACGGGGGACACCGAGTGTTACGTTCTTACTGGATACACCGGCATAATGGAAAGTGTTCAGAGTCATCTGTGTTGCTGGCTCACCAATTGATTGTGCTGCAACCGTACCAACCATTTCTCCAGGAGCAACAAGCGAACGTTGGAATCTCTCTTCAATTTCGCCCAGAATCCATTTAAATGCCTGAGTGTCGAGATGATACTCTTCGATCAATCGTCGGGTGGCAAGTGTTGATCTGAGCAATATTTGGAATAATAATGTCGAGTTACGCTGAGCTTCAACGCTAATCTTATCTTCACCATTGACAACTTTTAGGCGCTCACTAAGTTTATTGAGATCTGTTATTGCCTCTATTGGATCGATGTCACTACCGCCGCGTAAATGACTTTTGAATGTTTGTTGTGAATTTTTAATAAGACGTTTAATATTGACGGGCAATGGCCACTTGCTATCACCATTCGGAAAGATAAAATCGCGTAGTATCTTTCGATCCTCCAGTAGCCTGCTGTATTCTTGTTCTAAATATTGCTGATACTTGTCTGAGCCATCGTCACTGATCCGATCCCAGATACGAGGATCTACAAGAGATGGATTCAAATCCGGTTCTTTCCTTAAATCGACATAATATTTCTTCTCAAAATCTGCATCACTTAGTCGGAGGGAATCAAGTGTCTGTGATTCAACATAACATCCGTCTGTGCCATCTTCACCATAACAAAATTGTATCACATCGCCCAAAGAGTTACGCACTGTTCCATCATACTTAACCATTACGTCCTCTAACGCTTTCACCAGACGACGCTGAATATATCCAGTCTCGGCAGTTTTAACAGCCGTGTCAATTAGTCCTGTATGATTATGGGTTAGTAGATGCAAAATACTAGTAAAGAAACATCCTTATCGTAATTACCTTCACGACCACCCATAGCGTGGAAGAAGAACTCTGTCGGCGTAAGTCCACGCAAATAAGAGTTCTCGACAAAGCCTCTGCTTTCTGGACTGTGATCATCTTTTGTAAAGTGAGGTAATGTTCTGTACTTAAAGCCAAATGGAATACGCTTGCCCTCTACGTTTTGTTGACCCACACAAGCCGACATTTGGGAGATGTTGATAAAAGAACCCTTAGAACCGGAGATTACCATCTGCTTGACATTGTTATACTCTCCCAAACTTTTCTCGGCATAACGACCAGCAGCATCACGGGCCGTGTTAAGTTCTTTGTTGACTTTGTTTTCGAAAGTCTTGCGAATAGTCATACCCGGTTGCGGTTCCAGCTTGTCTTGCTGTGCCTGTATGATTATTTCCTGCACACGTGATTTGGCGTTACTAATTGTAGAAGCAATTGACTCGATAGTATCCTTATCAGCAATAGTATCGCCAATTCCAATACTGAAACCGTTCTGTAGCAACCAATAGTTGACAACACCCTGGCATCCATTTAGGAAGTTCTTGGCTGCCTCTGGTCCCAATTCTTGCATAATTACGTGTATTAAACCTTGTTGCGATGTACCAACAGTCTTCTTACAGACAATACCGCTCAATAACTCCCCATCTTCAATTAATACTTTTGTATCTCCAGGTGAAATATCAGACGTCTCATTATCAGGATGCGTTGAATGTCTGAGATTATCTGAATTAATGCCTTTCGGTATAATTATAGACAAAATCTGTTTACCAGTCCACATCGGTACTGGTTTCAAGATGCAAGGTATTGGAATGCGTCCATCCCAATCGGGCACCCACATGAGAATGTTCATTACTAAATCTCTAGTCAAGAAGCAGTCTCTTTTCGTAAACTTGCGGATCGCACATAAAGTGTCCTGAACAATACCCATAACGGGTTTATTTGACTGCGGAGAGACAATCTGTTTTGGTACCATACATATCTCCATGATCTCGGCCTTTGTTTCTACAGATTGTGGTATATGCATATTCATCTCATCTCCATCAAAATCAGCATTATAAGGTGTGGTGACCGACAAGTTAAGCCGGAAAGTAGAGTACGGCATTACTCTTACTCTATGACCCATCATTGACATTTTGTGCAGTGAAGGTTGTCGATTGAATATTACAATGTCACCATCATCAATATGACGCTCTACTTTCCATCCAATTTGCAAACGCACTTCACCCGCACGCTTGTAATGCTTTAAATCAATACGCTCCCCTGTGTCTCTAATGACATATTTAGCACCTGGGTGTTCTGATGGACCGTTTCTTACAAGCTCTTGTAAGTGATCAATATTAAGTCGAGTGACGAGCTCGGGATATGTCAAGTTACGAGCTATACTGCGTGGCACGCCAACTTCATCAACGGAAATATTGGGATCACCCGTGATAACAGTACGTGCTGAGAAATCAACACGTTTACCCATCAGGTTTCCTCGAAGACGGCCTTCTTTGCCTTTTAACCGTGCGCGAATCGATTTGAGTGGTCTACCTGATTTCTGCAAAGCTTGAGGTTGACCGGCCATCTCGTTATCCATGTAAGTTGCACAATGGAACTATAGATATACAAGATTACGGTTTAATCATTCACAGTCTTCAAGAAAATATATTATGAGACAAAACGAAACGACATCATTGTCGCATACAATTTCGTTATTGCCACCACAATAAGCGCAACAACATTTACTACAGCATCATCAACATTACTGACCTGTAGCAATGTTTCAAATTCGCTTATGACATGTGCTGGTTGCCCTTCAGATTCGCAGCGTCTTACATTCTGATTCGCTTTTAATATGTCAGCTAATTTATGCGTCAAATCATCTTCTCCACGGCCAGCACCATCCATTTGTATACTTGGACGTACGGGTGGAGGAGGCACAGGCAGTACCGTGATTATCATCCAATCTGGACGTGCATACTCGGCATTCAAGCCCATGGCCTCGAGATCTTGTGGCCTAATTTTCTTGAAAATCTCATAGACATGCGCAGGCGTTAAAGGCTGTCGTGTATCTTGTCCTTGTTCTCCCTATGTATACCATATTAATTAATACGCGTGCGTGTTAACAAGCGTAATAACAAGTAACAGATACACAAATGATTAAGCACATACATCATCCTTCGGTTTATAGTTAGCAAATAGTCTCAAGCCATCCTTTCGAATAATAGGTTGACGTGCACCACATCCACCATGCGGTTTCTTTTTTTTCAATCCTAGGACTTCATCTGTCGTCTCAACGTTCTTTTGCTGAGGCATGAGACTAGCAAATTCTCCGAGCTCCTTGTCGTCCCCTTCATTATTATTTTGCTCTTCACCGATCTCACAAGTCATCTTCGATTTACATATATCCCATACCGCACGAAGACGTCTTTTCGGATCGCGAATCTTGCGAGCTTGAACAAATTTTGGATTCGACTGTTACAATAACAATCATGAAAAATTACATCAATTCAATCATGTTAAATTAAAAAGAGTATCGAGGGGAACACGCAGCAGTGAATGTTTGGTTTTTGTTTTGTTTGTTTTTTTTTTGTAGTGATAATCGGTTTTCAAATTTAATTTTTTGATTTTTTTTATTCGATTTTTTTATTATTAAAGGAATGCAAGGATCGGGTGGGAGAATACAAAAGAGACAATTGAGATATGGTTGCATATACTTTGAAAGTAAGCTATGCAAATGAAGGCAACTCACGTCATCTGTCTTGAGCTTAGAACAGCCGACGCATATGCACTCGAGAATCTTCTTTACTTTGGGAAGAAATCCTATTGTAGGGGAGAGAGTTTAAGAAAGCCGTTAGCATGATTTAAAAGCATCGCTTACTGGGAATGGGTCCCGATACATTACCAATATGAAATACCGGCTTAGCCAGTTCTATGTGACCGAAATGACCAGGACACTCAGACATGCCTTCATTACATGTCATGCATTTGAAATTACGATCGATTGTTCCCATTCGTGGATCTAATAAACCACCTGTTTTTGGTTTGTGTCCAGTTTCATCCATGGTTTCCGGATGTTCGATGATTGCAACAGACATAGATTTCTATAATCAAAAAAAGTGCAATGTAGTGCGATGAGAATATATGCAATTAAAAAAGAAAGAGAAAATTTTTTTTCCTATCCAAGAAGACTAAAGCAGATGTTGCAATAGAGGTCCGGCGCATACAGCTGGTCCGTTGTGTGCTAAAAGGATCGTGCTCGATAGTATATCTCCACAACTAATTATATTCCCGAGGTGGGATCCCTACACCTTTTCCTTTCAACACAAGGACCAGCCGTCAACGTACGGACATCTCTTACAACCAGTCATATGTTATAGCTACAATCGCAAATCAAGGAACGAAGCATACAATCTCATCTGGTGATAATATGCCGAATTGGACATATTTAACACGCTTAATCGGTGCTGACGAGTGGGCAAACTGATACCCGTTCATTTTAGCTGTCAGATCTCCTGAAACTTTGTTTAGTGAAGTCTATATTCTATATAAGGACAGACTAAGGAACTTTGAGTGCTTGTACAAAAGGAATCTCCAACGAGAAAGTGTTGGAGAAAGTGAGAGTGGAGATATGCAATTTATTGGGTTTCTGGATGGTGTTTATGAATCTGTGCATGAATAAATTTCAATAGGGGGCTGAAAATTTGGGGGTTTAGTCTACCATAAACGGTTAATAGGGTTAGGATATCCGAGAAATATATAAAGGACAGCTTTGCTCGAGTTGATTGTTGACAAATCGATTGTGCCAAATGGGGACTATTTGGTAAACCCTGCTGCGCGGCGCCATGATATGGAATGCAATGTATACCCCTCTTCTTCCTCCCCTATTTGCCTCCAAGTGCTTAGTAATTGTCGGGCTGCTGAGCGCTTGCTGCGGTTTCAATATTCACAGTGGCGAATGTACTAAACATAGTTAACGTCTGGACTTGTAGGAACAAATGCCGCAGAATAATATGGTCTCCGAGGACAGCTTTAACATTATGGCGACAAGTCCAAGTTTATAATTCCCACTTTCGCTCTTGCGAGTTTGCTGCACGACTCCAGTAGTTTAAACCAAATAAGGAGTGGAAAAGAGCCTTTTCGTGATGCTGTAGAGGCGGCAGTCTGACAGTTACCGTATTGTCATTGCCAAGTTGTCGAATGTCTGTAAAAAAGGAGTAGTGGATACGAATCTTACTTATATATTACAACGAAGGTAAGCATGCAGTATTCCTGATATATAATTAGAGAATTCCTTAGAGGGCACTCATATAAATGCGAAACTGAACGAGTTGCTCTATGAGCCATGTTCTATTTATAAGTCTTTAGCAAGAAGCGCATCTAAAACACTAAAGATGGGTCTTCTACACCACACTAGGATCAGTTAAGGGTAGAACGAAATAAGTTGATATACCGAACGGGAAGATTGTGTTTATTTTCCGATATAATGTGAGTTACGTAATCTGACGTACTTATTAGCATGAGTATACGTTGGCTTATTTTTAAAAATTCTATTCCCCCGAATCTGTAGTTTGGATTTCCATCGTCTGGTCAAACATTAAATCTTCGATACGACCAGTCGATGGATCCCTCGTATTCCCGTGCCATGATGGCACGTCGTTTTTTTTATGGCTGTTCACGATCTGCATCGGTATGCTACATGAATACATTTAATTATATATATTATTGGTGATGATGGAAATGACAATTGTTAAAATTTTAATTTTGCAGTTATCCGGGATTCGTAGTTTTGATTTCCATCGTCTGGTCAAACATTAAATCTTCGATACGACCAGTCGATGGAAGCTGATGATTCACAACGTAATTCTCGAAAACGCCGATATGATGATCCTAGCTTCCCTCGTATTTCCGTGCCATGATGGGACGTCGTTGTTTTTTTTTATGGCATTCAAGTCAGAGAAATACACGACAAAATATACCCCCTCCGACAACACCGACAACAACAGCACCAACTACGGCAACAACAATCAAACGGCAATACGTCGCCACGCTTCGAAGCGACCAGTCGATGGACCCCTCGTATACAACTCAATTAAATTTGCAATGCATTTCTTAGCAACCTACAGCTTCTATTCGGTTATATCTCCCCCACTTGTAATAAATCATAACCCAATTTTCCACAATCCCAATTTCCCAATCCTGTAGTAATGTAACTATATGCTGTATTACACAATAAATTATGTCATGAATATTTGTGCCAGAATTTGTCGATCATTTGCTTCATTTGGTTATGAGTCATAATTCGACATTCAGCATACTAATACAACAAATCAAGTCACAAATCCAACATCAGGGCATAAATCAGGCGTTCCAAAGTTAACTACTAAAATAAAAAATTGATGGCCGACCAAGTTAATTCCTGAGTGGCTCAGTAAAATAATTCTTTCTTTGTGGAGCCACTTAATAAAATTCAAGTGAAGGAGAAGAAGCAAGTATTTCCATAAAGATGGGAAGAGAAGCATTTGTGACAGCTAAGAAATTTTTAGAGCAAAGAGAATTTGCAATATAAAATGGGGCATGCTGCAACAAAAACAGACAAAGTGAACATTTTATTATGTGACATAAATGAGAGGTGATTGTGATGTGGCTGTCAAATTGACCAGTGTGACTGATGATGGTTTGAAATGTAATAATGGTGCTCATTCATAACTTATGGACTTGTTAATATTATAATCTTCACTTTATCATACCAGAATGTGATGAATATAAACCATAACATGATTAATATAGGATTATCTCTATATAAAAAACATTAATATGAAGCTACATTTCCTTCATTTATTATTATTGCACGCCTGTCTTTAGATAGAGTTAAAATGAGCTTTAACATGTATAAAAACCAATTAATACTCCAAGGAAAAATTCGCTTGTGAATGTGAACATTTTTCGCAAAGCGTAATTTGTTCGATATGTTTTGTTTAATTCTTTAATCTTTTTCTAGTTCGGCTGTGAGTTTACTTATTTAACGATATTTATTGTGTTGTGGTTGAAAGTAAGCGACTAGTGCTGTTTCTATAATAAAATCTTGCAAATAGACAAATGCGCGTTGCTGTGCATCAATTATCATTGGTCACTCTGAGTACAATGGAAACAATAGCAGTAATTTTGAAAAGATCTCGAATGTTCCTATAATACGTCATTGATTAAGCCACTGATCAGTATTAGTATTAGTACACAGTGAAACTGGACCCTCGATATAACGGATATCGCTTAGTACGGAGATTTTTCATGGAACAAATCCAACACTTATAAAAATTGTCCCGATATACCGGTAATCTCTCGACAAGCCTATAACGGATGCTAACCAAAAAGTACTATATGCCAGTTCTATCAAAAATATAATGGATATCTCTGATCAACGAAATCAAACGATGAGATCGAACGAACATAAATCTAACTTTCCAAAGCGAATTACTTTATCCGGCATACAAAAAAAAAAGAATTATGCAAAATGAAACATGATAACCCAAGCTTAACAGGTAACAATTAGCAATCTGTATCAGATTCATAATTTAGTTAAGCTAAACAAATATTAATTGAAGATCGCAGATTACTTGATATATGGTTTGCTATGATATCCGGTATTAGTATATCATGAAAACTCGATTTAACGGAGAAAAAGGTCGAAACCGTAGCCTCCGCTATATCGAGTTTTACTGTGTATATTAGATCACATCGCGCAGCACATCTTCCCTTAACGAAAAAAAGGAAATGGCGACGACGGTCGAAAAAGTTGAACAAACATTGACGAAGGCGGAGAAGGAGCTGGAAGATGCGAAGACGGCGCTGAAGACATTCGAAGAGGGATGTTGAAGCTATAAAGTTCTCATTTATTTCCTTAAGATTAGTTTTTCTATTTTTTTGGAGAACTCTTTTTATTGCACGACTATCTCTCGGTGTAATTTTTTTGGGTCTTCCTGGTCGATTAGGAGGTTTTTCTTGTTGATGATCGCGATATTCCACTATAACTTATGGACAGTATTTAGGGCTCTTTTTAAAGCTACTGAAATTTTCTCTTCACTTAATCCACACTTCCATGCACCAATTATTTCTCCACGTTCAACAAGAGTAAGTTCTGATCGAGAAGTCATTTGTTATTGTTATTAGCAATAAAATGTAAACATTCATTGAGCAATAAACACAAAAGGCTTTAAATATCACACAAAATTCGTAGATAATATGTTCTCCATCATTTCTCATCGCAATTTTATGAAAATTTGAACATAAATATTTTAAATCATTCTAAATACATTTTGTTAGTAAAATATTTGATGTCAGCATAGAGAATACCGAGTATTAAACAAATAAATTTGGAAGTCGAAGTCGGCAAAATCTTTATGTTGGATTTAATTAATGTAAAATACCCGGGGTACTTTAGTCAGCACCTTATGTTTGAGACTTTTTTACTTTTAGCTCGCTGGTAACACAATCATGTGAACGTGATTTTTTATAGTTTAATCAGGTGACCGTAGAACAGAAAAATCCATGTTTCAGTACTTGGTTAAGCATGGCAAATAAGATACAAGTTCACGGACTCTTTGCAACTAATAAACCGCGTGGTATGACATGCACGCAAGTTCTAGCTTTAATCAACAAAGCCGCCCGCGCTTATGCAGCAGCCACAAAAATAGAAATAACGCGTAGAAAGGTAATCAAATTAGGACATGGAGGAACATTAGATCCAATGGCATCAGGAGTGTTGGTCGTGGGAGTGAATAATGGGACAAAAGAGTTACAAAGGTTTTTTAAATGTGACAAGGTAATCAGATGAAGATTTTTGGCAGTCAGGATGTGACCGAATGAACTGATTTGATTAATCGATCGATTGATTAGGATAGACTTACGAAGCCACTGCAATGTTTGGTTTCCAAACTGACACTCTTGATGCTGAAGGACGAGTTACAGATGTGAAACCTGTGTATAATGGGGTTCAAGAGAAATTACAAGCTATTTTACCAAAATTTATCGGAGTCATGAAACAGATTCCACCCATGTGAGTGTGTTGATATAGTATTTCATGTAACTTGGATGATAATCAATGGCTTGTTTATTCTGTCTGTATTCGTCCTTAAGATACTCTGCATTGCGCATGGATGGCACACGCCTGTACGAATATGCTCGTAACAACGTTGAACTACCAAGACCAATTGAATCACGCGATGTGCGTATAGATCGCCTAGAGCTGCTTGACTTTACTACACAACACAACTATAAACCACCAATACAAAATCATGCAGACGCCATGTCAGATGAATCAAAGGCAACAATGTCTACATCATCTAATGCGTCACCATATCCGATATTTAAACTTAGGGTTCAATGTGGTGGAGGGACTTATATTCGTTCTTTAATTAGAGATATTGCCACGGAGCTCGATACGGCGGCTCATTTGGTGGACCTAGTACGAACACGTCAAGCTGAATTCATACTTGGAGAGAATACAACAAAATTCGAAGATCTGGTTGAATTTGAAAATATTTGTAAAGCAATTAATGAGCGTGTTGGGTTTATAAGACAAGATTCTGCCGACTCTAAAGTATAATTGCTTGGTCTTTGTCTCGGAATCTTTTATTATACTTGTTCCATTCATCAGATGTATTAATTTCATGCATCACGGGATGCAACTAAAAAATACGAAGGTCATAATAAAAAATGTATGAATAAAGAATGAGAACACACCCACCGAACGTAGCGGGAAAGCACATTGTTTAAATATACCCATGTTAGTTAATCTATGAATAATGCTGTGTGCAAGAGCAACTTGTAAAACTACCTATACAACTGCCTGTAGGCTGTTGCATCTTGTACGTACATGGGGCACTTTATTCATCATCGACACCAACTTTAAACTCGATTATCTTGATAATCACTGTAACAATTTCGATAAAAATTGATTTGTTAGAAAGAAAAACATATTAATATTTTGTTGGATAGTCATTACTAGCTATGACTGCTGCTACTCTACGTGGCATACTATTAACGAGATTTTTGTATTTACTTTTATCAATTTGTAACCACTCCATTTGAGGTATCTGCCACAATTTTTCACAATTTTTGGGCCTTTCTAATTTATCCCATAAATATTCATGCCTGGGCTTTGGGCAGGCCAGGAAATACTATAGACATTATTTGTTCTCTTCCACTCTGTAGTTTTCTTTGCTGTATGAATGGAAGTATTATCTTCCTGGAAAACATAATCATCAGTATTTAGGTATGGTAGTAAATTCATTTCTAACACATTTATATATCTAATCTAACCAATGGGCCAAGACCTTTTTTCATAAAACAGCCCATATCATCATCATATTTTCTCATGAGGTTTTCTCCAGATGTATTTCTTACCATCTCCTCTGAATATTCAAATCTAGGTTCATCACCCCAAATAATGGATTCCCATTCTTGAGCCTTTTTCCAGTTAACTTCTGTGACAAGGAGTTTTCTGACTCCAATTTGACCAAAGCAATATGGCAAGCCGATCTGATATGACTCAGATAAGCAAGTCACATGGTAAAATCTTCCTCCGCAGTCATATCAATGTTAATTTTAGAATGGTAGTACGGCGTCGCACCGTGTCGAATTTTGAGTGTTGCTAAAGGTATACAGTATAAGCGACCCTTATCCCATCGTCGAATTCTCATATTGTATATGTTGTGAATATTGTTCATGTTGTTATAAAATATTGCTTATGTTATTAGAACAATAATTCCCACTCCACGGAATAATAATAATAAACGTTCCCTTTGAAATCGAACTTTACCTTCTTTCATTGTTGAAATATTAATTATTTAACCGGACACACTAATAAACGGCTCATGTAAGCTGTACAAGTTGTCCGTTTGATCTATTCTTTTAATTGAGAAACGAGAGCCAATAATTATTTATTGAAACAAAAATTGTTTAATTAATTATTTAGAGACAAGTGACGGAACCCGACTAGTCGAATATCAAATCGAAGAAAGCCCCCCTGTTTAATTTAATTTCTGCGTAGAATAATTGTTGTTGTTATTCTATCGTGGGTACTCTTATTTGGATCGAAGCTCGGATAGGGAGTTAGGAAGTGCGCAAATTTAATTATAATAGATAAGGTCACTTGTAGATTAGAATTCAGTTGTAATTGAACAACTATAATAAGGGTGGTAGCACGAAGCTAATCTGGTAATAACCCCCGGTCGGGAGAACACCCCTACGCGAAAGATTATTCACTCTCCCAAACCCAGACAATCCGACCGTAACAATACATATTAATATGGTGGAAAATGGAAAAAACTGTGCAATGCAGTGTGCATTATGTGATGAAAGTGGCAGTGTTGATCCTAAAATGCTTACACTGTATTTAATGTATTAGTATGTAATTATATTCAAATTCACAGTCACATATCTTAATGGCATTTTGATCAATTTTTTGTTTAATGCCCTATATTAAACATGTTTTTTTATCACACTCATACAACTCAATCTTCTCTCTTTACTTCTAATCCATTTTCATACAGAATATACACCTTATCTTGTGCTTTATTATATCTCTGTTCAGCTGTGTTAAAGTCCTTTTTGAATATCCAATTCCATTTTATAATAAAGCCAAGAATATATTGTGCATAAACATTTCCTTCTCTTTATTATTATTATGAAAATTAACTACAGATTTGATAACAAAAATTAATAATGTCTAACATTTTCTGACAAAAGTGCCTGTTTTATTACTTCCTGATATAGTCAGATGCTTTATGATATAACTCAACTGCCTTTATTAGTTCATCACATAAAATAAAGCAAGACTACACTGTGCATTGGCATGTCCTTGTTCAGCAGCTTTTTGATATAATCCAACTGCTCTTAATTCATCTCTTTCTACTCCAATTCCATTCATATAACATAAAGCAAGACTACACTGTGCACTGGCATGTCTTTGTTCAGCAGCTTGTTGATATAACTCAACTGCTTTTTGTTCATCTTTTTCTATGCCAATTCCATTTTCATAACAGTAACCAAGGTTATATTGTGCACTGGCATACCCTTGTTTAGCTGCTTTTTTATATAACACAACTGCTTTTAGTTCATCTTTTTCTATGCCAATTCCATTTTCATAACAGTAACCAAGGTTATATTGTGCATTGGCATGTCTTTGTTTAGCAGCTTTTTGATATAACTCGACTGCTTTTAATTCATCTCTTTCCACTCCAATTCCATTCATATAACATAAAGCAAGATTACACTGTGCACTGGCATGTCCTTGTTCAGCAGCTTTTTGGTATAACTCAGCAGCTTTTTGTTCATCTTTTTCTATACCAATTCCATTTTCATAACAGTAACCAAGGTTATATTGTGCATTGGTATGTCCTCGTTCAGCAGCTTTTTGATATAATTCAACTGCTTTTAATTCATCTCTTTCTACTCCAATTCCATTCATATAACATAAAGCAAGATTACATTGTGCACTAGTATGTCCTTGTTTAGCAGCTTTTTGATATAACTCAACTGCTTTTTGCTCATCTCTTTTTACTCTAATTCCATTCATATAATATAAAGCAAGAATAAACTGTGCACTAGTATGTCCTTGTTTAGCTGCTTTTTGATATAGCTCAACTGCTTTTAATTCATCTCTTTCTACTCCAAGTTCACTATTGTAACAATAACCTAGGCTATATTGTGCACTGGCATGTCCTTGTTCAGCAGCTTTTTGATATAGCTCAACTGCTTTTTGTTCATCTCTTTCTATTCCAAATCCATGTTCATAAAATACAGCAAGGCCATATTGAGCAGTGGCATCTCCTTGTTCAGCTGCTTTTTGATATAATTCAACTGCTTTTTGATCATCTTTTTCTACTCCAATTCCATTCATATAACATAAAGCAAGATTACAGTGTGCACCAGTATGTCCCTGTTCAGCAGCTTTTTGATATAACTCAACTGCTTTCTGTTCATCTTTTTCTACTCCAATTCCATCTTCATAATGTATAGCAAGGTCATATTGAGCTCTAGCTTCTCCATGTTCAACTGCTTTTTGATATAACTCAACTGCTTTTTGTTCATCTCTTTCTATGCCAATTCCATTTTCATAACAGTAACCAAGGTTATATTGTGCACTGGCATATCCTTGTTTAGCTGCTTTATAATATAACTCAACTGCTTTTAGTTCATCTCTTTCTACTCCAGTTCCATTTATATAGCATATGGCAAGGTTATATTGTGCATTGGCATGTCTTTGTTCAGCAGCTTTTTGATATAACTCAACTGCTTTTAAATCATCTTTTTCTACTCCAATTCCATTCATATAACATAAAGCAAGATTACACTGTGCACTGGCATGTCCTTGTTCAGATGCTTTTTGGTATAACTCAACTGCTTTTTGTTCATCTCTTTCTACTCCTATTCCATCTTCATAACATAAAGCAAGGTTATATTGAGCTTTAGCTTCTCCTTGTTCAGCAGCTTTTTGATATAATTCAACTGCTTTTTGCTCATCTTTTTCTAATCCAGTTCCATCTTTATCACATACAGCAAGGTTATATTGTGCACTGGGATGTTCTTGTTCAGTAGCTTTTTGATATAACTCAACTGTTTTTAATTCATCTCTTTGTACTCCATTTCTGTCTTCATAACAGTTATATTGCACACTGGCATCTCCTGGTTCAGATGCTTTTTTATATAACTCAACCAATTTTTGCTTGTTACTTTCTACTCCAATTCCAAGTTTAGAATATGCAGCTAGCTTAGATTGTGCATTGGCATATCCCTGTTCAGCTGCTTTTTGAAATAATTCAACAGCTTTTTGTTCATTTCTTTCTAACCAGATTCCATTTTTATAATATACAGCAAGGTTATATTGAGCAAGAACATGTCCTTGTTCAGCTGCTTTTTGAACTAACTCGGTTGCTTTTAGCTCATTCCTTTCTACTCCAATTCCAAGTTTATAACATGCAGCCAGTTTAAATTGTGCATTGGCATATCCCTGTTCAGCTGCATTTTGATATAGCTCAATTGCTTTTTGCTCATTTCTTTCTACTCCAAGTCCAAGTTTATAACATGCAGCCAGCTTAAATTGTGCATAGGCATATCCCTGTTCGGCTGCTTTTTGATATAGCTCAATATCAATTGCTTTTATTTCTACTCCAATTCCATTCTTGTAACAGTAATCAAGGTTATATTGTGTAGTGAAATCTCCCTGTTCAGCTGCTTGTTGATATAACTCGAGTTGATCTCGTTTTCCCATACTAGTATAAACCGGGTATAAACGTAAATGTACAAGGACTATATTATATATATTCAGGGCAGGAACAGTGTTATTAAAATATATAAAGCGTGTAGTAAATGTTGGACGATAGGGAAGGGAAATGTTGGCGTAATAGTAAGATCACAAAGTTACACACAGATTGCGTTCTATTTATGTTACGACCCATTCCGGGATTTGACCCCCCCTTCTAAGATCATTCCGGATTTGACCCCTTCTAAGAACGGGGGTCAACCCATTCTGGGATCTTTAAATGGTTGATTTTTGCAAATAGGGATAATCTACATAGACTATACCAGATATGTATAACAAGC